CTCATTTTTGTAGAGCATTTTCTAAAACTCTTTTGTCTCCTTTTAGAAGATTTTTCTCTTCAGAATTTGATTTTTAGTCCTTGGCTGAACATGCATTTTAGATCCAAAATTAGATGGCATCTATATTTATATTTTTACTTTCTCTTACAAGTGGAAATAAATTAAAACTGGAAGGAATATTAAATTTTTTACTTTCAGATTCTCTTGTGATAATAACATTATCCCTCATTGCCCTGCCCAGAAATGAAGAAAGATGAATTTAAAAAAAAAAGTGGAGAAAAGTTTTTAAGAATCCATTTTGCTTCATTTTTTAAAGTCTTATGTGAAGCAGTGACAAATAGTTCCAAGTTTAACTAAAAGCAAAATATCAAAGGGTTTGTTTAAAAAGTGATTATCAGGGTGAACATTTGGCCCAGGGGTGAGGATACCGGTGAGGATGGATTATATCCCTTAAGAGAGTACCGGGGTTCAATTCCAGACATCAACTCCTGGCTCAGCCTCGTGCTAATGTAGACCCTGGGAGGCTGCAGCTGGTGACTCGGATAATTGGGTCGCTGCCATCCACGTGGGAGACTTGGATGGAGTTCTTGGCTCCTGGCTTTGGCTGGTCCCAGCCCCAATGTCACGGACATTTGGCAAACAAACCAGCAGGTGGGAGCTCTCTCTCTTTTTCTCTCTGCCTCTCAAATAAATAATAAATACATTTTTAAAAAAAATTAAAAAGCATTTGTTATGGTTTAGTGACAGGAACATGCAGCCGAGGGGCTGAAGTCAGATGGAAGCGAATGCATCCTAGGCTAAGGCTGTCTTCAGCTGTGAGATTCCGGCCTTCTCACTAAAGAGGATGGGCTTCCGCACCTCACAGCCTCTTCAGCTCCACTTGTGTGCCATTGTGCGAAGCTGCCTCTGTCAAAGCTGCCTTCGGCACGGCTGTGCTCCTGTTTGCAGGGATCTGTAGGTCAGCTGACTCCTCACAATTCCCGGAAGGTCGGCTTAATCTGGATGCTGATTGGGTTTGACATCCTCTGGTGATGTAAAAGGCAACTCCTGCTGGGCAGGTGCCTCTGTGGCCTCCCCTGCTCCGCCGTGCTTGACAGCTCAGCAGCCTTCCTGGTGCAAAGTGCGGAGAAACCTTTGGGACTGGGCTGAGGCTGCTAATTGTTCTGCAGCCAGAATCTCAGACTGCCATCCTAAGGTGCATTATTCAGGCATCTGTCGAGCCCTTCGAGAACTGTTATTTCAGCTTGCAAGTGAAATTTAAGAGGAAAAAATAGGTTATTTTTCTTTTCCAATGTTACCTTCAGGGACAGTGATAGCATTATTTCAAAAAACAAAATATATATCCTGAGTCCAAAAAAAAATGTGGCAGACATTTTATTTCAGACCAGTAACTGCCCGGCGCCCTGTGCTCTGAGAATGTAACATGTCCTGTCTCCTGTCTGGCCTTGGCTCAGCACCATGGGCTTGGTCGGCTCAGCCCTAGGCTGCTGATGAAAAGAATTAGGTGTTGAGGTGTCTTTGGGACAAGTTACTCATTTAACAAAAGCTCCTTGCTTTCTTAAGAGCTAAAGATCTAGTGCAAAATTCCCTAAATGGCTCTGGTGGCAGAGGTGCCTTGGGGACTCCCATGGAGAATAGGGGAATGGGGGAGGGGAGCAGACTAGACTTGGATAGCGGAGCCCCTGCCTGGACTGGGGTGGGGAGTGGAGTCGGGGGAGGCGTGGGAGAGGGAGAGTTCCAGGTAAGGTTTTATTCAAGGAAAAGTTGTGCTGCAAATGAAGCCAGAAAGGAAGAGAAGAGTTGGAAATCACTGATCCTTTGAGCTCAATGCAATAATAGAAACATTTGTTGTGTTCCTTGGTAGGGTAGAGGTGACTGACAGTGAGGTATCAGAAGAGGCGATACTTGGGTTGAATCTAGAGTTTATTGGGGAGTCAGGAAGGCAGGGGGATAGCCCAGACCAAGAAAACACCTCCAGAAAAGCAGAAACAACACAGTACATTAGAGACCTGCAAGCAGTTTTGTCTACAGAGGAAGACCAGGTGGGAGCCTAGGTAATGTGGAAGGAGAATCAGCTTATAGGGGATCCTATAAGCGCTATGCCAGAGTTAGCTTTCATGATATCATTAAAAGAATTTCAAAGTAAGTCAGCTATGGAAGATTGAGCATTAGGTCTCCTGTATTTGTCAACAGTTCCCCTGCTCTTTCAATGCTTTAGTAGAGGAGCAGATATTGTTTAAGGTATGATTTATGTTCTTTAAGCTATTGATTGCAAAGCTATCGATTGCTTTGCAGAGCTCCTCATGATAGCACCACAGACTCTGCCAGGTCCCACATGACTCTGGAGGTCACTCAGTGTTGATCAACAAGGCAGCTTAGCACAGATGGGCCCCTGCGGATGCTCATTGGCTTTACAGGGCTGTAAAGCTATGTGCTGTCAGTGGAGACCCAGTATCTTGAGTTTTGATCTTTCCCAGCCTGGCAGTATGTGGTGTGATGGTATCTCGTGCTGGGCAGTGCCTGGCTAGCCACTCGGTCACATCAGGGAGCGACCCTAGTCTACAGTGTGCTGTGTTGCTAAGCTCGGATGTTCAGCAGGTTAGGTGGATTGTATGCATCTTTATTCACTTCTTGGCCTTTTGGCTAAGATCAAGCATAAAAGCATTTTTGATTTACCGTGTTTTTAACTGATGTTGGGTTTATTGGGAGGTAACCCCATTATAAGTCAAATGAACATCTGTGTTTTTGGTCCTGGGTGCTACCAAGCAGTAACACTGCTCTCCTCAGTCATTGTGAAAACAGTTTCCAAGTGTTCCTTGGGATGGAAAGAGTTGATGCTGATGCATGCTCCTCTCTCACCTCCCAACTATTGGCCCTGGCTCCCCCCATTTTGTGGATGGGGAAGCTAGTGCCTCCTGAGCCCAGATAGATGTAAGGTATAGAGTCGGAGACTGGACAAGAATCGAGCCTCTGGTCTTCTACCCCAGGGCTCTTTGCTCACTAATGCACCCAACCCCTTCCCTCAATTTTATGAAAGTTGAGGTGGGTATAAGGGGCTGAGTCTGTGACTGTGTTTGATCAGTGATTTAATGCCTCATTCCTTGTGCTCTTTCCTGAGGGAGGAGGAAGGAAGGAGAGCAGGATAGGGGCTGAAGGTGAGGGGGACGCTCCCAGAATCAGACCAAATAGGTGTTGAAAGCTGAGGGTATGAGAAGGGAAGGGACAAGCGCTGGACAAAAGTTAAGGGGTCAGGAAGAGGGGAGAATTAAGGCAGGAGGGGGAGAGAAGTAGCAGAGAAAGGGGAAGGATTCAGGAGCTTGAAGATTACAAAATCAGTCCAACACTGCTTTTTTTTTTTAATTAACTCCAATTTAAAAAATTTAAAAAATTGGGCCCAACCAAGCTACCACGTCTTCCCCCAATTCAATCTGAATCTAAATTGCAGCAAAGCAATCCCCTCTTCTTAATCTCAAGTACTGAAGTGATTGAGAAACTTACCACAGCTCCTATTCTGGGCCCTGGAAATACAACAGTGAGAGATGGATCTTGCCTTCAAGAAACAGAGCCTAGTAGGGAAGACAATATTGAATCATAAGGTAGGGCCATAAATAAATATGGCCAGTATCAGCTGACAGCACATCAGTGCCAGGCACATTGGTGGAGCATCTCTCATTTCAGCCTCGTCTCATTCTCACTGCTATCCTGAGAGCTGGGTATTCTTCTTGCTATTTTCAGATGAGGAAACTGAAGCTTAAAAGGTTAAGAGAGTTGCCTGAGGTCATGCAGCTGGCGGTTATGTTATACTGTCTGGTAGCAGCAGCAGCAGTGGTAGATCAGATGTATTTTTTTTTTTTTTTTTACAGGCAGAGTTGTACAGTGAGAGAGACAGAGAGAAAGGTCTTCCTTTTTCTGTTGGTTCACCCCGCAAGTGGCTGCCATGGCCAGTGCTGCACCAATCCGAAGCCAGGAGCCAGGTGCTTCCTCCTGGTCTCCCATGCGGGTGCAGGGCCCAAGCACTTGGGCCATCCTCCACTGCACTCCCGGGCCACAACAGAGAGCTGGACTGGAAGAGGAGCAACTAGGACAGAACTGGCGCCCCAACCGGGACTAGAACCCGGGGTGCCGGCACTGCAGGCAGAGGATTAGCCTAGTGAGCTGCGGCGCCGGCAGGACAGATGTATTTTGAAAGCCATATATAAAATGCATTTGGAAGTCCTGGGTATGACCATCTTTGCTGCTCAGAGTCGGATGCGGACATTAAGTTTTCTCAAGGAGCAAGCAAAGAATCAAGGACATTAAGGTGCCTTCACCTACCCAGTGTTTTCTGCAGAGATATGTCTGTGTCTCTTCCTTCCTGGCCTAGATCCCCTTCCACATAAATCCACCTCTCACACAAGCTGTCCCTATCGCCTTGGAGACGCAGTAGGACCACACTGTTCAACCTGCTGCTTTTTTTTTTTTTTCTAACAAGACGCCCAGTGGAAAATAAATCACAAAAATAAAGCAGTGGGAATTGTCTTACCAAACCAGCCATCATTAGAAAGGGATGTTCGGGAATGGGTGTTTGGTACAGTGGTTAAGACACCTATTAGGGTCTTGCATCCCAGATCTGAGTGTTTGGGTTTGAGCTTGACTCCACTCCTGATTCCAGCTTCCAGGGCCTGTGCACCCTGGGAGTCAGCAGGTGACGGCTGCACATGGGAAACCTGCATTGATTTCTAGCCTCCTGGCTCTAGCCTGGCCCAGTCCTGCTGTTGTGGATGTTTGGGGAGTGAACCAGATGATGAGATCTCAATCTCGCTTGCCCTCTGCCTTTCAAATAGGTAAACAAAAAATTGTACAAAGATTTTCAAAACATTTAAGGTTTCTCTGGCGTGTCTGTCTTCCCCATTGACATACTCTAACTTTGATGTGTCTAGGCATGCATTATGTATAGTGGGAACTGAATGCTAATATTGCTCATCAGAAATAAATCCCTTTTTATTATATTTTCTTTATAGGGTCGTCATGTCAAAACCGGCCAGCTTGCAGCCATTAAGGTTATGGACGTCACAGGGGTAACGTATCTTTTTCTTACCATCTTGAAAGCTATGTATTTGTAATAGGGAAGTTAGTGCTAGAAAAAATGTCTTCTTCCATAAAAAATAATCTTGCTAAATGTCTAAGCCTTTTTCTCCACTGTGCATAACATAAAGAAGCAAGAATATGCAACTGCTGAGAGGAGAATGGATAAATCATTCATTAAACTTGACACCTCTGTACTTCCTTATGTGGTTAGAGTGAATCATATGTGCCAATAATTTACATAAAACAAATATTTGCATATGAAGACAGAACAAGGATTTTAAGGTATTAGAAGAATAATACTGAGATTACATAGCAGAGAGAGGTCTTAACGGTTTCCCAGAGGTCTACCTAACACTGGAGCAGACAAGAGGATGGCAGCTCTAAAATTCCAGTAGAGTATTTAACATGAATATTTCCCCAAAACATTATGGACCAAATAATCACAATAACCATAGGTCCTTGTTATAGTAGAGCAACACTGAAACAAAATTTCTGCCTGGATGATCAAAAGCAATCTGAGGAGTAGACTTCATTTTGATTGTAAAAATCTAATGCCTTCAGTCCTTCCCTGGGTCTCTTTAAAATATTTTAATGCCTTTGCAAGAGTACAGGGCAAAAATCAGACTTGAAAGGATTCACTGGACATCAAAAGCATGTTAATAATTTTCTGTTATCTGGGGGATTTTTCTAAGATGCCTGTCCTCTGTACATGAAAGCTAAAAGACCAAAGTCTTCCATTCGGCCCGGAAGTGGATTACTCAGTGTAAATAGACATAGAATGAATGACTTACACAAAAATATCAATAATGGGTACACAAATAAGAAAGACACCCAGTAAATCTGTATGCCAAGCTTCACTTTATACTGTTTTGGATCCAGTTTGTTAGTTTTGATAAGCATATGTTTCAATGTAATTACCTACTATAGTAGCAGTTTCACTAGTTTTCATTTGTACCACACTTTGTACTATCTTTCCTTATTAATTATTTATCTGAATTCCTCTTATATTTTTTAAATACAAGTAAAAATATAATTATGGTTTAAAAAGTGTTATGTTTATTACCATGTGGATAAAGTACTATTTGTCTTAAATACATTATTGGAATTTCAGAGGTTGCAAACCAGTTCAAATATGTAATCCCAATTAGTTTGTTAGTTTACTGACCTTTTCTCCATAAGAAACTGTGCATAGATTATCTTATAGTTTAGCTTTGCCATTTGAAAGAGAAAACTCAAAATAACACAGGAATGAGCATGATAAAACTATCTTACTCTCATATTAAAGGGATCTAAGAGTCGGTAATACAGAGATTTGTGACAGTGCTATGATAAAGGATATTTTTAGCTGTCCGCCCCACTATTCTAATAAGCAGTTCAAGATGCATGTTGGATTTTCACCCATCACACTCCAGGAAGGCAAAAAAGGAAGGATATGAGCAAAAGTCTGGAGAAGGGTCTCTCACTGTGAAACCTTCTGCTTTCATACAGGATTTGTACTTGGGCTTTCATTGGCTAGCTCCAGGTGCAAGGAAAGCTGGGAAATAGCCTTTTATTCTTCCAGTGTGTCTGGTTAAGAATCTAGTTACTAATATTCAGAAATGGAGGGTGGGTATTGGCATGGGCAATTAGCAGGGACTTACACAAAACTCAAAACCAGATAATATCAGTTTCTACATAGAAACCCACTATAAAGCTCCAACACTGGAACAAATCACAATTTGTTTTGCAATTCTGCTGAACTCATACTACTTGTGTTTTCCTTGGAATGAATACAATCTCTACATAATGGGATGCACTTAGCAGTTTCACAATGAATGGTTGTGGCTGGAGTCCAGGACATTGGTACTGTAAGTTCAGTCCTGTTGTGTGGTTCCAGTTGAGTTCCACTGACATGACAAATATCAGTGCCTAAAGTTGTATGTCGTTTGCACAAGGCATGATGTGCAACATTGGTATTTTCTAGTTTCTGATTCTACTTGTGAGGCTTTACACTGTTTAGAGAACCATTCTTTCTAGACCACTTTTCTTGGAATCAAAAGTTAGTTATTTATTGGAGAGTCTATGTTCAGTTTAAGGAATGCCATTTAATCTTTCTAAACTGGGTTTTATTAAGCAACTAAGCCTTGCAGAAACAATGACCTGAGACTATTTTCTCAATTCTTCCAAGGATAGCACAGAGTTAATGTCATCTGATATGCATAGAACAGTCAGTGCATTATGTACAATGGGTGCTTTGTAGTGTTTAGGCTTAATTCTTGTGGGGAACCCCTGTTGAGAAGGGCTGGTTGGTTTTTGTGATTTAGTCACATCATTTACTACTATTTAGCCACTGACTTTTTTTTTAAGGTTTATTTTATTTTATTTGAAAGAGTTACAGAGAGAAGGGAGAGAGAGAAAGAGAAAGAGAGAAAGAGGTCTTCCACTTAGTGGTTCACTCCCCAAATAGCTGCAATGGCTGTGATGTCGGAATTTGGCCCCCTAAAATATATATGAAATATGGCCTCTTAAAGTTCCCCAAAAGTCCCACCTGGGGTACCACATGATATCGGACTTTGGGGTGCCATACGATATCATCGTATGCTTATTAATAAATCCACAATATTAATAAGCCCATGTGGGTTCTTGCCTAGTATTCAGAGAAGAATTCTGAATACCGGCATAAATGAATGAGGCAGCATGGTACATTTTAAGCTTTATTTAGTGCAAAAGATGCATAGGAGAGTGAGGCTTTATCTAAGAGAGAGGGGTAGATCTGGGTTCATACCAAGTACCAGGAACCAGCCACGTGGAAGAACATCTAGGCCAGGAAGCAAAGGGTGGGTTGGCCTGAAGGCCATGTGCCCTGGAGGCTCAGGGCTGCAGCCAGCCCCCTCCTGGCAAGAGGCCAGAGAAGGAAGGGAGGGAAAAAAAGGGCTGGACACACCATGCCCCAGGCTTTGAATCCACTTTTAAAGGGGAGTGGTTAATTAACCTGATTGGCCAGTGGGCACTCAGGTGTGGCCAGGTAGGGGCATGAGGTCACATAGGGGCGTGGCAAAGGTGTTGTCTTCCATCTCACAAACCTAATAAATTTTAGCCTGATGCCTGTCTACTTCAGCTGGAGCTAAGTCGATCCCAAGCCAGGAGCTTCTTCCTGATGTCTCACTTGGGTGCAGAGGCCCAAGGAATTGGGCCATCCTCTGCTGCTTTCCCAGGCACATTAGCAGGGAGCTGGATCGGAAGTGGAGCAGCCGGGACTTGAACCAGTACCCATATAAGATGCCGGCCATGTGGGTCGGGGCTTTAACCTGCTGTTAAACCTGCTGGCCTGGTAACCACTGACTCTTAGAACAGGCAAAACATGGCTACCTGTACGAAATGGGTTTCTCATTTCTATGGTTTGTATCATCCCCTCATACCACGGTCAGCATGAGATTTCCTTTGTGAAGCTCATGTGGCGCTTTCTGAAAAGAACCCGTTCCACTTTGCCATGTTGTCTTTTGTGTATTTTGGAATGCCAAAATAGCTTCTTACCAATTATTATAATTGTGCTCATTATAGCTGCTCTGTGAAGAATTGCAATGAATTCTCAGAGGTCGTCTTTGTTAATTGTACGCTATGACCTACTGCAAAGTTACTGCAGTTTATTGTAATGAAATTCATGGAATCATAAGCTTGAAATCAATTTTTAATTATTGTTTTTGTCCTAGACCACTTCCTTTTTACAGCAAATAGCCACAGAAAGAACCGTATGTAATGCTTCTCTCCTTCCGGTTTTCGAGCCGAGATGCGTCCAGATTTGCAGACACACGCTTCAGAATGAGTGCTTAAACTCAGCCTTTGAAGTTCTTTTAGCTCCCAAAATCATTATGGAAATTTCCCCATTTCACTGCTTTCTGGGGATTTCTTCCCAGCTGGGTTTGGGTACTCTGGATGTACCTAGAACCTCTAAGAGGAATTGAACTCTCTAGGGAAGAGTTTCTCACAGAGGACTGCCAGGGGCTGTGGGCCATCAGCACCCCTGTGGGGCTCAGGAGAAATGCAGATTCCCGGGCCAGTGGCAACCTACCTGTTCCCAAGCTCCTCAAGAGCCTCACATACACAAGTCAGAGGACCACTTTTCTAGGCCTTGTCGTTATTCTTCTCTGGTCCGCATGTGTGAAAGGGCCATGGTTCTTTTGTCGCCATGTAAAGAATCCTGCTTTCCTATGGAAAAAATTCCTGAGATGAACTAGTCCCTTTGCAGTGATACCCTAAAGTGAATGTGGGACTTAGTGAAATAATAAAAATAAAAAGACCATGTGTCTTTATGACGACTAGTTGTGATGCCATTACTCAGGACGCTAGTAGAGGCTGAGAAGGGAACTTCTGACTTGTGTGAATTAAACTTGGGAAGCCACGTGTTCTGCTTAGGAGTTTTGTCTGACCTCATCTCTGAGCTGTGCATTTTCCCCACCAGCTTCTCTAGGCTTGTGTTCTAATAACCCCGTTACCATTAGTCCTAGCAGAAGTGCTGCTCCAAACATCAGTGGCTAGGCTTGGGTCTTGGACGTGTCCCAAGTCTCTAAACTGACCCCTGAGTTTCTTCAGCCACGTCTAGGTTAGAGGCCTGCCTGGGGAATCTAACGGTAGGGGAGGGTTGATCTGCAAAGGAGAACCTCTCACAGAAAGAGATGGGGAAGGATGCTGGGTAGGCAGGAACAGAATTCTGTGACCATATCATGTCTTTATAGCGAGTGTGTCTAAAACTGATTTGCTCCTGGAGCAAAGTGCCTCTCTGGTTCTATTCCAGCCCATAATAATAATAATGGCAGCTGACATTGGAGTCGTGATCATGTGCCAAAACACCTTTGAAAACTTTGTCAATTTCTTTGATCCCTTTCTACAGCCTACAAAAGAGATTCCATTATTAGTGCATTGTAGAGATGTGAAAACTTAGCATCTTAAATATTTTGCTCAATATAGCAAGGTTATTGGGGGTGGAGTGACTAATTCAGCCTCAACAACTTAA